TAGGCCGGGCTACGTTCACCGAGGCAACGATCGCCCGCACTTGCACTTTTTAAGAGAACCTGTTTCCCGCGCACCACACCCACGGGCGACGTGAATCGCGCGCGCGAGATATCGAGATATCGCGAAAAGAGCGCGACTGGGGGCCCCGTCCAGCCGAGCAGGGACTTCCCCGTTATACCCTCCTTCGTTCGCCGCTAACGCGAACGGTAACGCGATTACGCGGACGTATCGCAGCTGCTGCGCGAGGAGAGCTTCCTGCGCTCGTCCGGTAGTTGACATGTCGCAGTGCACGTCGATGAGGACGCTAAGCTTTAATAGAGTCTGAACGTTTACTAAACTGACACTCATTACTCTTTCTAATCGTTCTCATTGTGTCTGGATATGATAGGATATAATACGCGCAATGCAATGTGATACGATATGATATGTCAAAAGAACAGATTAGATGAATAATCAGTGGTCACGCATATGTACGAATGATTAAGTATAAATGTATTATTCCATTCACAACCAAATTTACCCTAATTGATTGAAACATTCACTCGTATGGATTAAAGATCCACTCTAAGTTTGACTTAAACATTCACTCTTGAATGATTAGAAAGATTCTAGTGAGTCTCGGCTTGGTAAATGTTAGGACCTGATTGAAGATTAGTGAATATACGTCATATCGCGCGAATATATGTGTCTCGTAAAATCGCCACTTGTTTCATATTCTATCCGTGTACTTTTCCTCGGTTTCTCGTTAACGTTCTTCGCGTAGCTTGCAATTTGACACTTCCATCCCCTCCTCTCTCTCTCTCTCTCTCTCTCTCTCTCTCCTCTTATGAATTATTTAATCGAAAGTAAACGAAACTGTATCAGTAAGAGGCTGAATGCCGGTGTTAGTCCGTCGAGAAATATAAGTTCCTTAATATTATGCTTATAATGTTATTATAATCGGTTATTATATGTGTATTACGCAAGTTGAAAATCCTTACAATTTGACTCTGCTTAGAGCCTTCTCACTGGTGGTAAAGAAACGTATTAAAAACGACGAGTCATGTAATATTATTGTAGCAACATAATTCTCGTCGCTTCTTCGATTTATCGAGAATGGTTACCCGAGCAAAAATTTTATTTTTACATTTTTTCTTTTCTTCTTTTTTTCCATTTGCGTTCAACGTGCACTTTAGTATTTTCAATCAACTCGTCGACTAATTCGTCACGCTGCCCGACTTTGTGAAGATAATTGTTTTCACATTTCTAATGTTTTATAGATGATAAATGCTTCTGCGTGCTATGCATCAATGACTCCTCAATAAGTTTCTTCTAATGAGAAACGGCATAGCAATAGGAAGATGGTAGAGAAAGTAGTGGACAAAGCCGAAAAAGTGTTCGACGGCTCGTCAGCGAGAACGGAAAAACAAGGTTGTAATGATTATTCGGCCGGCACGAATACTTTCACGACTGATGGGGAAAAAAAAGAAAAAGACAGCTTCATCCGCTCGCTAGAAACGTTGTTTTTACACGACCGCGATCTGTCGGGCACCAGTATTCTTTATCGATCAATAAATTCGAGAATCCTACCTTCCGTATCGCCGTATAAATAGAACCTCGGACTATACGTGCGATACTACAATGTACTCTCTAAATTTCTTCAGGTGAAATTCCGGACGATAAGTAGAGTAACAGCCGAATCAGCCGCTCGTAGTCGAATGACCTTTCGTTTATATAGCCAATTTTGTGACTCTGAATCGTCGAATTTTTTTACTCGAAATTGAGAAGTAAGTATAAATGTAATTCCATTCACAACCAAATTTACCCTAATTGATTGAAACATTCACTCGTATGGATTAAGGATCCACTCTAAGTTCGACTTAAACATTCTCATACTTAAACATACTCTTGCTATTCCAAGTAACAGTATTTTTACCATCGCTCCCAGTATATTTCCAATCGTTCCCAGGGAGAGTTCACTCGAAGAAACTTATAGAGTACAACGCACTACGTTAAAAACGTGCACTTCTAATTCAATGAAGCATCAATCAAACGAGTTACCTCTTAACCCTTTAGTGCACGCATTTCTGTAGAAATTTCAATTTTTTTTAAATAATTATTTATGACCTTAGAAGTTCTAGAGAAATATTTTTAAAAAAGCTTTCTTTATACATTTGGCCTTTTATTGACAATATTTAGTGTTCACTCACTTAAACAAAAAGGTGTAGGTAAACGACGAAGACACAACTTGTTATTTTCGGATTCAGATACATAAACAGAAAACTTTAATCCTTTGCACTCGAGGGCTCCGGAGCGGAAGCCATTTGTCTTCAAACTCGAGGGCTCCGCTATGGAGACAATGCAAATAGCAAGAGCGAAATATCCTATACACAATAGTTTTTACGATTTGTCTTCATCCTTATGTTATGAACTGAAAGTTATTCGCATTGTCTCCATAGCGGAGCCCTCGAGTTTGAAGACAAATTTTAAATGGCTCCGCTCCGGAGCCCTCGAGTGCAAAGGGTTAAATATTATATAAAAGCAAACGCATCATGAATATATGTAATATTATTGCTCTTTTATTAATGCAACAAAAACACCACCACCGACGTAACCTCGCGTGCGAGACCATAAGATAAACTGAAACATTGAATAATTAGCAACATTTAGCAGTAAAAGCGCGAAGTATTTAAATGACGTGCTTTACGGATGTGAAAGCTTTCATATTTAAACTCCGAAGTTCAACCGGGAACGGAAGATTGAGTATCAATATATAGCTTTGCCTGTATGCAGAACGGCGTATCAAAATGTTAACACATCGACGGCGCGTGAAATCTCATTCAAATTCTGCTAAAACTTCGCATACGTGTTTAAAAAACGAGAAACCTCGCATGCCCCGTTGCCCACGCAACGTATGAAAATGAGATTTCTCGTTTTCCATCACCCCAATATTAAATACCCGATCCCTCCAAAACCGACGGAAACGCGAGCCGTGTGCCGTAAAATGACACTAATTAAATCACGAGCAACGAGAAAAAGAAAGAGAGAGAGAGAGAGAGAAGGTGAGGTGGGGGCTGGGAGAAGACTTGGCTATTCGCGCTGGCGGCATTACGAAATCGGCTTTTTGCCGTTGTGCAGCGCTGCAACCTTGCACCTCGCATTGCGAGCGCAACAAGGTGAGTGCATTACTCGAGAGCGAACGATCGTGTTCGATTATTACACCATCTCCGAGCGGAGATCTGAATGCTTATTGGAACGTATCGTCGCACTCAGCCGGCAATTATCATTCCACGGCTGCAGACCGTCGTAGAATTTGCAGAAACCACGCGACGATGATGATGATCTCACCCGTTGTCGCGTCGTCGGCTCGTCTCCAACGTTCGTCGCCGGCCGAGCGAGAGAGCACCGGTTTCTCTGTGTGTTCACACCTTAAGTATAACGTATCGTATCGTTGAGTATGACGGCCGATACCGTTCCGAGAAACCGACGGAGAAAATCCGCAGGACCATACCTGTCGGCTCGGCACGCGGTGATTGCCTTTGAATACATTCCCGGACGCACACTCGTGCTCACTCGCGCGCACACACACACACACACACACATGCACCTTACGTAAGGAAAACAAGAGAAATTGTATCATTTTGTTCGGCGGGGCCGCGGTGCGGGACCGCGCGCGCGTTCACGCGCCGCCGAAACTTTCACCACGTTTATTACTAACGTGCTCGTTACACGGCACGCTCGACCACGCTCGCAACGTCGTTCCGTTATTTTGCGCCGTGCTTCCTGCACGCGGCTCGTTTTCGGCGGAAGGCAAGAAAACGCCTTCGTGAAATCGTCCAAGGCGATGTACGTGTGTGTAGACGGTCGACGGTCAGGAAGAACGAAGCACGAGTTCGCATCGGACAGTCGCCCGCTCGTTCGCTCGCTCGCTCGTAATTACGGAAATTTCGACGTGCAGCGACGACAACGTCCAGCCGCGCGTTATTGATCCTTTCCGGTCTAGCGATTTCAATCGGAGTCGCATACATTGTCTCTTACGTAAGCGGGTTGACCAATTCCAGGATAGCTGGAACGTTCTCTCGAATTTCACTTCGACGGGGGGCAGGGGCACAACCGGTAATTATGGGCGGAACGAACCGACAGAAGTACGCTAAGCTCTCTAAGGTAGTATCGATTCGCTATACTTGAGTACATTCTTCAGAGAGCGGGAAAAGAAGAAAAACTCTGGCGTCATAGACATGCCATTTTCGGTTTCCTCCTCTTTTCCATTAAAGAGGGTCGGAATGTCTGAGACATTTGGAGAACTCCGGTAATAGTAGTCCCGTTTGGCGCTCCTCTTTTATCTTATTTTCACGAATGGGTTCCGCAGCCGAGATCTTGCGTTTTCGGCTCTTGTCGGCTTTCTGTACTTCGTAAAGTATTTTAAGATGGGGCCAATAAAAAGTAGATATTTTACGCAACACTTTATATCGGAATATCTCGAAATAAAATACGAAAGACCCGGCAAAGTATTCATTTTTTTTTGTTTCAATGACTTTGCCTTCACACTTTCACGCGCGGATTGACGAAAAGAACGTATTTACGTAAAGAGAAATATATTGCTATTTAAAAAAAAAATTCGGGTTCCACAGGCAGCACAGTTCTGTTAGTAACAGAAATATTGCGATACCTCTTTCCTCGACGAACTGTTCGAAACACGTATCTGGGATCTAGAAAAAAATTTTTACCTTCTGAAGATCACGCAAAGAGCAAAATTAATTCTCCCATTAGACACGGCGGATGAGTTGCGAACTCATTACAAAAGAAAGTGTTGCAAGTCTCTCTGCCACCCGTGGCTACCTGCGAGTTTGAGTGCTCGACTATAAAAGAACTCGGTTTTAGACCGACAGCACTACTACGTCAGGGGAAATTTACGGGAGTACCATTGAAAAAAAAAGAAACCTAACAAAGTGCTCGGCCAGGCTAAGTCGATCGTGCGAATGTCGATGTCCGATGGAACCCACGGAAAACTATCTTTGCAGGATGTCGCGGAAGATCGGTGTCTACGTTAGCGTACTGCTCGTCCTGCTGCTCCAGCTGACGGCATCGACCATGGTCCTGCCGAGGCCACCCTCGTCGCTCAATCACATCCGTCATGACCAGCGGGAGCTGTCCTCGCGGAAAGCGGTTGAGGGCAAGTCTCTGCACGGCGTCTCGCGGAACATCGACGCGGGGAGGCCCGATACCGAAGACTACAGGTATCGCGCGATATTCGCCCGAGCGAGCTTCTATTCTCGGCTAGGAATGTTGTGATACTATGAAAGTATCGGTACTAATATTGAATAACATTGAAACGGATATCTGATCAAGAGTATTAATATCATTAGTGATATCAACATTAAAGCAAAAATATCGATACCGATATCAATTTCAAAACTTAAAATTGGAGAAAATGTAAAAATCAGGGAAGTGTGTTTGTCTTGCAAGCTACTTTTAAAAGTTTCGTACGTCTACACAGAGAAAAACTACTGTACTGCAAAGAAAAGTAATTGCTCAGTTTATCTTTTTTTTTAAGTAATGGTTATCTTGAACAAAGAATATTTTCTTGGTAATATTAAATTGAATATTATATGTTCGATTAAATATTATATAGCATTAAAATATATTCGTCACAAATATTGGAAAAGCTCATTATCATTTACTCCAAAGAAGAATGTATTCTCTTTCTGAAAATATTGTAAACTTTATCAAAGAAGAGTTCAATTCGGTTAATTGGAATAAGTAATCCGAAACTTAAGTGTTAGTATTTTAATTCAATATTCTCGATTGAAGTATTAAACTTATTAAGATTGGAAATATATTTTGAATAAATTTGATGCTTATGATGAACTCATGATATACTTGCAGATATACTTATATAAACTTGTGCAATATTTGGAACAAATAATATTTACTTAAATGCACCAATATATATTTTTCAGTGTGTACGCATATAATAATCTTACTATGGTATAAAAATACTTCTATCTTTCGCACTACTATTAGACTCTCTACGGTTTATGACCTAAAACCTTGGAAAAAATATGTTAAGGCTCATGTGTCCTCACTATGATTGTCCTTGTTTGGTGACGTCAGAAGCGAGAAATAGCACACAAAAAATTATTGCGGTGCGCGTGAAAATAAAACATAGGCACAAAATGACATTCGTGATCGATCCCACACACTTGTAAAAATATCCGGACGTTTTCCTTTCATATTTCAGCAATCAGTAAGTAACCGTAAAATTAACATAACAATAATTATAAGAGAAGATGGGTTTAAGACGTAAGTTGCACGTTGTACTAATTTTCATGAAACAAAAATACATGATATCTTGAAGATCGACTAAATAAAAAAATTAAGAGTAAAAAATGAAAGAAGGATATCGAAACAAAGTAATGCCGATATGAGTGTCAGAAATAGTGATACGAATATCGAAAGAAAATATTGAGAGAGAAAGACAAAAATACCCGATATTGAAGGAAAAATATCGATGCCAGTATCACAACATCTCTATTCTCAAGTGGATCGCACGAGAAGATTTTCTCCTTCGCGTCTCTTATCAACCGATCCCTCGAGATCGCGCAATGTGAGATTCCATCGGAGATTTGGTTCGAGACGGTGTGCACCTCGCCTTACTGCTCGCCGCGTTATCGTTAGATCGAACGGCCTTTTCCACACCGTGTTTCCTTTTTTTTCTTTTTCATAACCGCCGACCGGTATCGATATTATATTCCAACGGCGTCGCGCGCGCGTTGCCCCAGCAGTTCACTTTCGCTCGCGCGCCTTAGGCAGGTTGCACACCGTTGAACCGGCCCTCTGAGATCGAATCTTGCGATGAAAATTCACTGATCCCTCATTTATTATTTCGCCGCGGACGCCGTTAACGAGACGGCCGGCAGAGTGAATCGTTAATGCGCTTAATGCGCAACGGACGATTATTCCAGCCTACTTAACGGGCTCCCCTTTGGAAAAGCCTCGTCGGGCGACTTGCGAAACGATATCGTTTATTTCAACTTGGCGATTCCACGTCGCTCCGGCTCCGAACAAAAGCAGAAAATCTTACCTCGACCGCCGTTGTTATTTCCCAGCGTCGGAAAGCGACCCAATTAGCGCGAATGAAAAGCCGTCTTCGCCGGCGGCGCACGAGAAACGTGAGAACCGACCGGGTAATTACTCGCGTAATTCCAACGACGGTAGGATTTACGCGACTACAATTTGTATTCCTCGATATCGGATAACCGGTGATTTCAAAAGCGAAATATTAAGCGCGCCGGCGAGGTTGAGGCTACGAGGTCGAACGTTCGATTTTCCCGATCCTTCTTCTTCTACTTCTTCTTGCACCAGAATCGCTGCTCGGTTTAACAACGCGAGGTTTATTCCCGCGAGCGGGAAGAAAAGAGAAGTTCGCATTTCTCGGCGAACAATGACACCTGTGACGTCGCAAAAATCGAGTAACGACCGCGACACGGAGGAAGATCTTACTCCCCGCGCATTTTCCCGCGTTCTACCATCACTAATATCGGATTAACGACTCGACCGGATTACTCACCGCCCGCTGTTCGCACCGTATATTTATGACTGATCACGCGGCTTAAAATCTTACACCGCTCGATACCCGATAATCATCCCGCGAAGAACCGCAACGAAAGACTGTGTAAATTCGCGCGAAATTAAATTTTCTCTCTGGCTGCCGTTCATGTAGAAAAATTAGCAGAAAGAGATGTAGTCGTGGCGACCAGAGCCTATATTAACAGTCGTGACTTGAAACTTGACCCACCCGTGGGATACTGAATTTTCAGAGGTAGATCTGAGTTTTCCAGTCGAATCACATGATATCACGTGACATTATATCTGCAATCATGTGATTCAATGGAAAAATCCACACTTAATCCGACTCAAATTTAGTAAAGATTAAATAAAAATTAAGTAAAAATAAAAACAGTTGTTATTTGAAACTTATATCTCAAGTGAGATACTCAGATTTGAATTCAGAGTTAGATGTATTTTCTTTTTAATGGAATCGTAATTACAGATACAACGTCAGATATATCATACGATTTAATTGGGAATCTTAAGTCCAGCTCTCAATCCAAATCTGAATATCTCGCATGACAAGTTTCAACGTGACAACTATTAAATGGGTTTCCAAGAACTCAGGCGACGGAAAATTCAGTCACACCAACGGAGTCGTTTTCTCCGCGTGCGCTACGAACACCGCCCTAAGTCACTTTTCTGCGCATAGGCTCCTCGAGATCGAGCTGCAGAGTGCGGAGGAGATGGACGCGACGAACCTGCAAGGCCTGGTGCGCGCGATGCTGAAGCAGCAGCAGAGCGAGCAAACGCCCAACGACAGTTACCCGAACCCCGAGGTGATCCCGCACTCGATCCTCGGCGTCCGGGACATGGGGCTGAGTCCAAACTATCGCTTGGACACCTTCGACGACGACAAACGCGTCTTGCTGAGTCCACCGAAGCTGCAGAGCCTCGACGAGAAGCTCTACTACCTGAAGAGCGGTCGGCCGAAGGTCTACGTGAACGTGCGAGGGAACAGCGGCTCTTTCCGCAAAGGAGAGACCGCGTCGCCTACCGCAACTTCGAGCGAGGGCCCGGTGGGCTACCTCAGGGTGACGCGACCCTTCGAGAGGCAGACCGACCGGAAAATTCGAGACAAAAAGGCGCGACCACCTAAGAAATTCGATCGTCGCGTCGACGGGATCGTCCTGGGGGATGAGCAGGTCGGCAAGATAAGCGACCAAGGGGCGTCCTACGGAGCGGATGACCTGTCGACCACGGAGAACTCGATGGTCACGTCCAGCGAGCTGCCGAAGCAGATACCCGCGCCGCCCAGCAAAGTCCGAGGACGAGTGCTGATGGTGCAGACCACGCCGGTGCAGAGGTACGCGCTCAGGAGGACGGACATCTTGCCGGGATACGGCTTCACCGACGAATGACCGCGAGGACTCGCGACGTTGGCTCGTCTCAGGAATCTCACGGACCCGCTCACGATTTCGAGCGCGATCGCGTCACCGACGTCTTGGCGTCTCATCGACGCGTCTCATCCGGAAACGCACACACGCGTATATCAGCAACGACGAGCCTCGGAAACGGAGAATATCAGCCGAACGCGATGAGAACGCAGAATTCCCGAGCGAATCGACGGTCTCGCGGACACCGCGGAATTTTTGGCACGTTCGACGAGGAGCTAGCTGTGATTGCACGGAAACGGGGGGAGAGAGAAACAAGCAAAAAAAAAAAAAAAAAAAACGCGTCTTCGCACTCGACGAGAGAGTTCAATGCGGTTTAGCGCGGTTAAACTCGACGCCGAGAAGTACCGTACGGCCTCCGGCATAATTTATGCTGATTGTAACAACTTACGATAAGAGAGCGCATAACTCGTTATTTATATAGATTAATATATGCTTGTGTAATATAGAGAGAGTCGACTAATATAGAATTAAGAGAATGCGATAATATATTAACTTGCAATTGAGCAATAAATGAGCGAGAGATCGAATATCCTTACGGGTGTAGCCTCTGGGACGATCTGATCGTCTCTGCGTAATTTCCTTTTTTTTCCGTCGTTTGATTTCCACATTTGACGAAGAAATACATCGCGAAGAGCACGCAATGAGAATTCATGCTGGACGTAAGTCGTGAAAGGAATGGTGTTAAAACGGCCACTCACCTGTTCCGCCTTCAACGTGAGTTCGATGAAGATCTGTTGCAGCTTCTCGTTCACGAAATTGATGCAGAACTGCTCGAAGCCATTCTTCTCGAAGATCTCGAAGCCGTATATGTCCAGAATTCCTATCTCGTATCCGTCCGTGTTTGTCTCCATGGCCGAATTGACTTTCTGCGAAATCGTTCGTCGTTGTTTAATAAAGAATAATTAGGAAGGAGGCATTCCATAAAATCGCTCGATGAAATCTCGATTTTTCAACGGCGGGATGAGTAAACGAACGATATGTTTAGGTGTGTACCTTGACTAAATAATCAAAGAGCCTGGCATAGATGTCCTTCGCTAAAGCATCCCTAGCATAAAGCGCCTGTTCCACATTCAACGTCACGTCCACGCTCTCAGATTGACTTCCCCATTTCGACTCGAATTCTCGGGAGATTAACTTATGCGAAAGCTGCTCCACCGAGACCCCGAACAGGTAAGCTGGAAACTCGAGAACTGGAAAGACATTATATAGTTGGGATAAACCACCTCGACAAACATGGAAATGATAACGGAGATATACATAAGAGTTACATCATTAAGGAGGTTCGAGAAAAGACATTGACTAAGTATAAGATAAACTCGTAATATATACATGATACAAAAGTTAATTGAATTAACAATACGTAATAGAAATTTTAATAATCTTTACCATATCATGTTTCTGAAATATTTAATTATAAACTTGTATGTGCACACATGTAGAAATCTCATAACATAAATTAGATATTTTTATTTTATTTTTGTATATAAGATACATCTGTTTATGTATAAGATAGAAGTTGGAAACGGTCGTAATATTACAAACGTTATAGACAAATTTCAGAATTATTGACCGTTTCGTTTTGAAAATATATAGAGAAAAGTTCATGTAATTTATAGTAATATTCGAGATACATGTATGTATATGCACATATTTAAACACTTACGTACCTCTTCTTATTATCTATGCATTTCTATTAAATCAACTAATACATAAATAACATTAGTAAGCAAAATAAAAAATAATATTTTTTGTATTTGTAATATTGTGTACATACTTCAATTTTCAAATTAACATTTATTGTTTGAGTAGTGAAATAAATGTATAGAAATGTAATTTTGCTTGGTAAATAGTTAATATATGAGAGGTTCTCTTGCGCCCCTGGAAATACGGTATTTAATGAGCGAACTTCCTTAATTACTTTGCCGAGAAATGGAGACAGATTTTCTTAAATAAATAAACATCACCTAAGATTACAACAACTCAGAGTGGACCTACATAAGTTTTCGCATTTGACATACTAATAACGTACTGATACGATTTCCATCCGCAGTTTAAAATTAATTGTACCGTTTAACATTTAGATTAAATTATAGAAATTAGCTTTCCAGACACTAAAAAAAAGACGGAAGACGAAAATACGAGAGTGACCTTCAGCTTCCTGTCGGCATAGTTTTCTCTATGCGGTAATAGACGCGAATAAAACACACAATACAAAGGGGAAAGCACTATTCTGATTATAGACGATGACAAAAATCCGCGGATATCGTTTAATATATACATTAATATATAGCATTATGAAACGAAGTCGAGGAAAAATAAAGTAATACTTATTAATTTGACAGTCAGGCAAATTACAATTTAGTCGTTTAATACACGTGGCGACGTGTATCTCTATCTCTCGACGGTATCGACCTACTTACATTGTTCATCGGCTATTTGTGAGTAATTGCCCTTCTCGGCGAACTGTATGTTTCCCACGTGAAGAATTCCAGCTACCAGCCTGAATATATTCATCATTTCTGCGTCTTCTATTCCCATGACACTCAATGCTGTAATCAAGAAAGGAGGAAATCATAAAAATTGATTAATAATGAAGACACACCCTAACCCATATAACATACCTTTGAGGGTTTCTTGAAAATCACGAGCGTCATTCGTGCCGTCCACCCTATGATTGCCGCCGTAATTCAGGTAGTGATAATAATCGAGCTCCGTCAGTCCAAATTCAGCTGTGAAAATTCGAATTGTTCTTTTTAAACCGCCATCATGCGGATCTCTTTAATATTAGAACCGTGGGTCATACAAAAAAGAGATGAGTCAAAAATGAGACGACCTATCCGCGGTTTTAGGAGGGAAAGAATTGCCACGGTTCTAGCGTTAAATTCTCTCACGTCGCCTCGATCTGCCATCCTATCATGTATTTCGAAATATTGATTTCCCCGTTTGACGATACTTTTATCTCCTCGTTATACTCACATTTCATCGCTTGATTGGCGCCCGTGGCCAGCTGATAAAATATATGGAAATTCCGCTCGCCGGGATTGTGGCAGGTTACTCTCGACTTTTCCAAAAGAAAATTCGAGATCTTGCCTCCGCTCGGCTGACCGCCCGATCCAAACTGCATCTCGACGTACTTTCCCTGAACGTTTAGAAAACAGTCTTCATTTATTCACTTTATCTTGCTCAAACAGTCGAATCGGTGAAAATTGCTACGCGTATTAACACATTACAGACCGTGCGCGCAGATTTTGCACGCCTCAACGAACTAAGGATAAAGCCCGTTTGAAACTTTTCACCCGTTTTCAAGTTTCATTCGGTCTCAGAGAAAGTAAACAAATTAGCGGTCCATAACGTATTAATCGTGAGACGACTTTAAACGTACGAATCTGCTGCTGTTGTTGTTCCTCGTGGTCTTCGCGTTGCCGAACGCTTCCAAGAGTGGATTCGATTCTAGAATAATATCCTTCACCCTCTGCACTTTGTCGCCACCGCCACTCACCCTCGCCACGTAGGACATTATGTACTTTGCGGCGACAGTCTTTCCGGCGCCGGACTCTCCACTGCGAGAGACGAGACATTCTTCAGTGAATTCTATTTCGTTCTGTTAGATCTGTTACATCTTTAAATCTGCTAGATCGAGGAGAAAGGTTTCTCCCTCCCTCTCTTCTTCTTCTTCTTCTCACCTGATAATAACGCACTGGCTCTCGTTGTCGATCAGCATGTTTCGGTACATCTCATCCGCCAGGCTGTAGATGTGCGGTGGATTTTCGTACGGTGCCTGAATATCAATCAAGCGACGACGTTAGCGATATTTTGATCCTAGCGGGATCGTCACATCGATGAGAGAAATAATGCGTTCGCACTTACCGCGCCCTGGTATATTTCGATCTCCTTCTCCCCGAAATACGGCATCTGCTTGAAGGGATTGATCGATACCAGCACGGGTCCGATGCATGTCTGATGGCTATTAAGGAGCATCTCGCGTGTCATTATCAATTAGGCTACTATGATACTCGCGCGTCAGAACTTACACACTGGCTATTATCGAAAGGTGGTTCAGAGCTTCGCAAGCGTGTGATTCATATTAAACCGAATAAGAAATTAGCTCCGCGGACAAAGGTCCACGGATGAAGTCGTTCAAGGTAAACAGTGATTTTCCATGGTATAGAAATATACTTTCTAAAATGCAATCAGTGTATTATTATTGAGAAACAGCCGATAGTCACTAGTGATCATAGTTATAAGCATAACACTGCAAAATCAGTAAAATTTCGCTGCAAAAGTAGAACTGTTAATAACAGAAACTTTCCTCTGGAAAAATTTAACTGCAGAAACAGTGAAAAAAGATATTATTTATTACTTCTTTTTCTTTTATCTTACTCTCACCTTTAACGTATTGTCAATGATTTTGCCTGAAATATTCTTAATTATGTTTGGTTCATTTAATTTATATTGTATTTGACAAACGAATACAATATATTTTATATATTAATATGTTTTGCATTTTTTATATATTTATATATTTTGTTTTTTATATATTTATATATTTTATATATATTAATATTCATCCTAATAGGACTCGAAACCTGTAGTCCCTGAATCTACTGCAATACGAACTCCAAATACGACAGATGATTAAATGCATATACGACATGTACACAAAACAAATAGTCTTAAATCAATGATAAACATTCTCATATATATATATAAGGAAGAATATTATAATATTCTTAGAAGATTTTTAGTCTTGAATTGAGTGCAAGTAATACTTGCATCGATACAAATTCAATTAAATCAAGACTAAAAATATTCTAAGAAGATTATAATATTCTAGCTTACTATACGAGAATATCTGCTTTTAATTTAAGACTAATTTTTTTATGTGTACATATATTTTTGCTACGTGACGTGTAACAGCGATTTGCAGTGAATCTTTCACTGGCTAAAATCAGTGAAATATTAGACAAAAGAACTAAGTGAAAGAATTTCCGTTAAAAATGAGTAAATATTCACTGATTATCGGTAGAATATTGTTTCAATGATTCAATTGACATTTTCACTGATTCAACTTAAAAGAGCAGGATTATCGTAGATCCTGCAGAATCGTTTCATCGTATTACTAATTTAACTTGTTACAAAAGGCATTCTATATGTAGAAAATTGCTATTTACTCTTGAAGAATGGATCCGTGAACCCGTGCTGATCAAACATTTTTTTTATTCAGTTTAAAGTTACCTGCAAAGTTTCGAATCACCTTTTAACAACACCTTGTACCTTTTAAAAATACATATACACGCACACTACTTGTTTCACATACGTAACTTCGCAAATGCCAGCGATAAAAAAAAACAGTGCCACTGACGTGATCGACGCATGCGCAGGAAAGGATACGAATATGTAATCGTCCATGTATCTCTTCTTGAGATTCTCGATAATGCTGTCCTCGTTGATCTTCGGCAGGAGGACCATGTCGTCCACGCCGGAAATCTTGACATTTTGACTCTGCCAGTGGTACACCTGCGGAGCAGAGTAAATTAATTGAGTGATAGAACGACGCATTTTTTAAGCGATCGGTAATGTTTTTGGAAAGGCGATAAAAGGCGGGCGATAGTAGATCGGCCGACGACGAAGCGCAACGAGGAAGTCGCGGACACTGGGCATCGGGCAATCCAATTACGACTTCTATCCCGCCAGTGTCAGAGGTGGTGTTCACTCGCTCCGACACGGATCACCGATTTATCGATCGTTTCCGTTCTTCTTTCGGCCGCAGACACGGTCTGCGCGGCCTCACCACCCGGATTACGATATCGCGCTCGCTCGGTTTCTCTTCTGTTTCTCGAGACACGCTTCGAACTCGGAGATCTGACTTACTTTGTCGGCAGCGGTATTTGCAACATGTCCGAAAATCTTATTCCGCAAATAATCTTTGTTGAAATATTTGTACATCTCTTCGCGCTCTGTCGGATCGGATAATCTTTGCTCTTCTATTCGGCGCACAGAGGATGGTAATTCGCGACAGATAAGACGAATCTCGCGCTTCGATTCGTGGATTCGGTCGTGAAGGAAGAAACTGACGCAAGTGGAATGTCGTATGAATGGAAGTCCGGCGTGTGAAACACGTAGTGTTCTCGGTCACGTGGCGTGGCATCGGAGAATGTGAGAGAAATCGAAGTCAGCGCATATGGAACTTCCGGTCGGACGATTCTCTTTCGTCGAATTCCGTCTAATGGGGGGGGGGGGGGGGGGGGGGNGTGTCGTGTTAATTGCCGGTCCCTTTCGTGCTGCCACTTTATGGGGGCATTATCTTACAAATTGTATTTTAAACGACATACATTACCAGTTATTCTGGGATATCCGGTCAAGGTCGCGTGTTAAAACAAGTGACACGCATACTTATCGCCGTATTTGTGCACCATCGACTATAAACAGCTGTGTGCGTATTTTATTGCGTGTATTGCTGCATGTGCCAGAATTACTGAATAATTTTAATTTCGAAGAATTCGCCGCTAATGTAACTCCATCGATGCGCCACAACCGACGTCATCGTCGATTACGTTGTATTATCATTTAATCGTTATTATTTTGATTCGATGACCGATACCGAGTGTACCACGAAGCAATTTGCATATACGCGACGCGCGAGTGCTCCAGTAAACAGACTATAAAGAGGCAAATATGAGAGAAAGTGAAGGAGAGGAGGAAAAAAGGGAAGAGGAAGAAGGCAAATAGAGCGAGAGAGAAAGAAAAGCGTTTATTCTTGTCCCGCGGCATACTCTAATTACGCTTGCAACAATATACAGAAACAAATATATTACGATTAGATTAACGATAATGATAAAAGTGAAATAAATAAAGTAAGGAAATATGAAGGTAAAGATAGATGTAGGATAACTAAAGAATGAAAATAAATAAAGTGATATGAAGGATTTGATAATATAAAAACGGTTTGATTGACGGTCCGCAGCGATAACGTAAGTGAAATAATAAAGTGAGAAGATGTGAGGATGGAAAAAGTGAAATCAAGAATTCAACAATTACACGAGAGAAAGAGAGGAGAGATCTCATTTATAAGGAGAGGGCGTGAAAAAAATATCGGCGGAAGTTGGTCCGCCCAACGATGAAGTGAATCGGTAACAGAGGAGTTTCCAGTTTCTCCTTCTCCGCGTTACAATTGAACGGCTCAGCAAGGGGAGAAAGGGGGGGGGGATACACGGGNGGTGGGCAGGCAAATTTTCTCAACAACGGCATCAACCGGTCGCTTATGCCGAGCACGCGCCTCGATTGTGTCTCGAGCTATCATAGAGCCGGTTAATTAAGATCAATGGGGCTACTGACCGCGCCTAATCGATCGTATAATACTCCCTCTGGTAGCCGGGAGAGAATCGCGCGTGCCGCCGGACCAGAGGCCGGAGGCATGATTTCACGGCTTCCGTTGGGCCGCGGCGCAATGAAATTGTCTGTTCGTTCACCGCAGTTCCGCCGGTGCGCGGTCGCGGTCAGGGAGATATATACGCGCGCGTAGCTGCATCGTTCGCTGTCGTCTCGGTCGTCCGGCGAAAATACGCTCGACCTGAAACTCGAACGACGCGAGAGATTTTCACGGAGAGCTGCGAAAAACTGCGACTTTCCCGAGCGGTTCCCGCGCGATTTCCGCCCTCCGATCGATCGACGACGTCGATTTCACGACCGCCAGTCCGTTAATCTCTCGCATTCGATAAACCGTCCATTGTCAACTGGATGATAAGGCAATCTGCCGTTATCAAAGTATGTAAGCCGACAATATCAAGCAATGTATTCGATCCGTGCAACGAGGAAACGTTTGCACACGCAGGTTGCCGGGTGAAAAGAAAATACTCAAACACGGCGATCTGCTGCGACGAGTTTCCACGTGGGTTTTATTTCGTTTCTCAGATATATATCCAGGAAGTGTGACTCAGGTCGCTCGATACAGGCGATAATAATCTATATCGGTGCGAAAAGTAACGCGTAGTGCGCAACGGGCTGAGATTTTCCTCCCGATGAATAAAGACTCCTTCTGATAAAAAGGCATTGGGGAGGGTTGTTAAATTTACTCTCCGAGATTTCTTAGTCGCGACAAAGCGGTGATTCACGTGGGTGGAGGTATCCGTTGTTGGGGAATAATACGTCTTGGAATTTTCTCGGAGGGACTGCACGTCGGCGACGGTGCGGAGAATCCGCGAGCGCCAGGGTTGCATCGGTAAATCGCGACGACAGAGCGACGATGACAACGATATTCAGCGGCATGCTTCGAGTCGTTTGATGCGCTCGAAAGTTCGATATTTCCGAATAATCCGTACGGAGAAAAAAACCGTATTAACAGATTCCTTCTGGGATTTTCCCTACCGATAAACAAAGACCTCTGCTGATGAAAAAGAGACATACCGGCGAGGGTTGTTAAATTTATTCCGAGAGGTCTCTCGGTCGTGATTCACGTGGGTGGAGACATCCGCCGTTGGAAAATAATACGTCCTGGGATTTTCTCAGGAGAAGGATCGCGCGCCGTGGCGGTGCAGAAAATCCGCCTCCCACATCAGGGCTGCATGTATCGATGCATCGCAGCGGCGGTCGAGCGACGATGATAATAAAGCGCGATCTCAGCAATACGCGTCTCTTGACCTTGTCCTATCGCGTAGCGTGGCGCATCCTTCGAAACGATTAATAATGCCACGATTATTAGCACGCGAGGCAAGGCCGTGCGTGCGTACGCTATCGTCTCGCCGGATTCGTGTTTGCGCGCCTCCGATAAGAGCGTGTCGGCTTTACTCGGCCTTTTTTGTGATAACGATTGCCCTTCTCTCTCTCTCTCTCTCTCTTTCTCAAATGTCACCATAAAATCGTGATTCTGAACGATCGATGATGGATAATGATTGAACGCGCGCTTCTGCATCTGCTTTTATTTTAATTAAAAGTGAATCCTATCGGAATGATCGGCTCGACTGTACATTAAACTTCAACGAGTCCTTAACGATTAGATCCAAATTCCACTAATTCTTTTAATCGTTCCCATCGTATCTGAATACAAAATGATACGGCACGATAATATGATAATGTAATATGTGATGATATAATAATATGTTAAAGTGACAGATTAGCAGAATAATAAACCAACAGCCACATTATGTGCGCGAACAATTAGCGCAATTAATGAATTTTTCCTGATATACAAAATTATTGGCACTAAAGCCATTAAGCTTCGTTGGAGCTTAGTGGCAACGCAAGCCGGATTAGTCCGGCTTAATGTAATTAGAAGTAGCTGAAGTTCGCCGAAGCGCATTCGATCTTTGCCCATCAATCAAAATGACAGATTAGCCAATCAACGACCACAATGTATACGCGAATAATTAGAGAGACTGGTGAATTTTTGCCCGGCAAACTGTAAGGCTATTGAAACTCAGAGTAGCTTGAGTGATCGAACCGATCACTCCGACCTGATTGAATTAGAAGCGGATGCAGAAGTGTAAGTGTGTGTATCTGTCGCAAGTTTCGCGTGGGTTGCCGTATCGTCGCGAGAGAAAAAGGCGGGCCCTCCTTAGCAGTAAATGTTGATCGATCTTCCCGTCGATGAATTTCGCAATCACCTACGCGCACGCCTATCGTTCCATTAAGCAAAATATTTATCGATCGATGACGACGGAACGTCGCGCAGTGGTTAATGCAAAAGCGAATTCCCAACAGGATGTTCGATTACGTCGGCCGATGTGCGCGATGTGCATTACCGTAAAGTTTCCCAGCGTGTAATAACGCCGGTAAAAAAAATGCGTTCTTGGGAGATAGAGAGGCGTGCGATACGCGTGCCTCTTATCGAGAGGAGGTGCCTCAAGATACGTCGTTACACGCACCGGCGACGATCGCTCCACATCGCTGTAATCGCTCTAATTTCCAGAATAGGCGATAGCCCCATTACGCAGCTGCAATTGGAGTATTCCGCCTCGTGGCTGAAACCGTCGTCGGATAATAAATCGCGCGCCGCTCTCCCCGCTCGTGGAAATTGTGATTTATCGGCACTCGTCGTATCCGGATTTTCGCGCAGCTGCACGGAACGACATAAAACGCGCGATATCCGATAACGCGCGCGCAGTTCTCAACGGGAGTGATATAAATGTGTGAAAAAACGTTTGATAATGCTCCGACAATATTGGAAAAGGGCCCCGGGGTTCTCGGTAACCCGACGCAATTATCGCCGTGGAAATGGGCAGATGCAACGATATTCGTCGCGCTCGGATCCCTTCGCGCGGTTTTACAAACTAGAAAAAACAATTATCAATCGGGACCGTTCGACGCGAGTTAAACGAATTCCACATCGAGGCTACACGCGGCGAATTAACCGTCCTCGGATTCTTTCGGCAGAATATTCGTGTTCTCTTTATCTCTTGCTTGCGCGTAAGACGAATTTAAAATTCAATTCAACAAGAGGATCATAAAGCATACAAGACTCAACATATTAATGGCTGTGTTTGCCGGATCAGATTTAGACTCAGCCACCCACCGGAAGTGGAACGAACGTTTCGATTTTAATTAAAACATTTTTTAATTAAATCTGAAATTCAAATTTTAGATGAGAATTTTACAGTTTTAACCCCTGCATCGGATTATCGATCTGGCTCGGTCTCGATACAGACTTCGCCTCGATTGCGCGGACTGCGCAGCCGAATTTGCGTAACTTTGATACTTGCTTTGCTTTTTACCCGATCTTATTTGTCTCTCACTGCAGTCGTATAAAGCGCAGCTTTCTCCGCAGAAATTTCAACGTGAACGTTTCTCTGACAGTGTTCCGAATAACATTCGGGTGGCAAAAATCCATGCTCTCCGTACAACGACTCGACGGCAAGTCGTCGAGCTGATACACCCGCGCGACTTATGACGCGTAATTGCATCTCGCTGACGGCAATCTCGGTGACGACAATCGCTTCTTTGATCCCGGGCCGTAGGTGTCGAGCGTGTTAAAGCCGGCGATGCGACGACGGCCCACGGTCAAATGAGGATCATCGATCGCGAGAGATCCTCCTGTCCCATCGTCGTCTTTTCACGCGAGAGAATGAACGAGGAAAGCGACGGAAACTGGTTCGACGAACCAGTTGAAAAGCTCGCTCAGTCTCGGGAAACTCGTGACTCAGACTGTGCGTGAGCGCGCGTGAGGTAACACCGTAATCTTGTTTTGTAAATTTGCAGACGACGGGGAAGAGAAGCGAGTCGGCGCATGGGTGGTCGCGTCGGGGGAATCCCGATTGTCGTCCGACAACTTTTCCAAATAATAAACAGCGTCGAGGGGCAGGGGGGAGGCGGAGGGGATAATAACTGCAGCACTGTCACGATTCCATTCGCGTCTGTCAGATGCTCGTCGTCGGTATTTCTCTTTTTCTCTGTTTGTTTAACGCAGTGAAACGTAATGTCACTCTGGATTTACGGACGCGGAAGTTGCGCTTTGAATTCGCTTTGAATTCGCTTCGTCCTCGCGAGAAGGTACTTCCTGGATCACGACGTCGTCACGTATCGAGGAATTTTAATCCTAACATTGAGCAGCGAGAAAATGAATCACTTCCCGCTCATGGATGCCATGAGACAAAGAAAGGGCGGGAGGTTGGAAGTGCGCCGCTCGCAACAAGGAGGATCACGCGAGTCGTCTTCTCGAGATAGTGTCGAATTCGAGTCTCTTCGTCTTCCCCGATGAAATCGATCCTCGCGGTTCGCGTTTGTTCTCATCTCAAAATTCCTGAATGAAGACTGTCTTGAATGAAAACTTCGCGTGATCGTGCTAAATTACTTTCGATACGCGCGACAACGGTGCTCTCGCTGTGGCAGCGAGTTCGATTTAATAAATATATGCGTCGAAAGTAAGCATTCCGTCAAGGAAATGTTCGTGACGTCACTCGGCTACGAGAAGCCTCGTTACTCACGATCCAAGAGTCAAAGCGACGCGATACAATCTAGGATGAATCTAAACTTTATCGAGGCCAAGTTTGAACATCGTCTATGGAAAACATATTTACATTCAAAGACCGATAAAATGTGTTAAAACTTTGTAACGAGGATTCCCGTAGGAGACGCGATATAAAAAACACTATATTCTGCCTTGCTATATATTTCTGTGTATCGTTAGATATTTCTTATTTTTTATGTTAATTATTTTCTTATTTCTCTTATCTTAATTAAATTATTCTAATTAACTTCTTTCCTTCCACTCTCTTATTTCTCTTTCCATCTCTCATTTTCTTCCTCTCGTGGTTTAACGAGAACAAATATGAAAGGAAATACGCGGACTTCTTTCCTGAAAAATTAATCCTCTTCTTCGGTATGTATTTCGATCGCAAGCTTGAGAAAGATCTATCGAAAAGTCGATGGAATAATTGCTCTATTAAAATTAACAATTTACACGCGTAATTACCATATCGTCGGAATGAATAGTCTCACGGGTAGTCACAACTGATCACCTGGCCGTCCGGTCACCTTCAGCCACGTTCGAGCCACGTTCACGCACACATAACGCACAACAACACGAAGAACAATAGCTCACGGTAGATCACTCAACCGACCGCGTTCAGTCGTCAACGGTGACGAGGAGACACGCGGGAGACGCGAAAAGTCGAGCCGTACGCACACGTACGTCCGACGATGTCGACGGCTTCGTAGTCCGTCGCGCACTGAAACGACTCCGCGGTGAGTCACAGAGTACCGGTATCGGAACGGACACTCGCCTGCCTTCGTAGGAATCGTCACCGCGTCCTGGGGAGCACGCAGCGAGTCTGCGACACCCGGACATTAAACTTCAAATTTCCATGGGACAATTCTCTCCGAGTTTCGCTCGCTTTATCTCCTCGATTATCGACGCCGGAACAGAGTTTGCCCGAGTCCGGACATACCAGAACAACGGTTTTACCAGGTTACTCCCGATAATTCGATAATTATTAATCGTAATGTGATAATGTCGGATCGACCCTCTGTCTGATAAAATAAATTGAAATGTTTACGAAACGTTGGAGACAGATCCAACAGAGAACGCTGCTCGAAGCTGGAAATCCAACATTTTTCCGCATCGCGAAAATGGCGAATATCGAATGAATTGTATAGTTTTGAAAGATCGGAAAAACCGACTCTTTTCAATTTTTCCGCGGATTCTCTCGGTTTCTTTCCCAAAGGTAGGAAAATTCGTTTAAAAATATACATGTGTGTTCGGTTAAAACTTGCCACATTTACTTCTTTCTGTAAAAAATATAATTGTCACTTAACTGAAGTTAAATGAAATTAATATATATTAAGTAATAGCATATTACCTTTTCAAATAATTACAACCGAATATATTATGAACGAAAAATATATAATGTTTTATCAGTGCTCATAATTTTATTAAATATATTTTAATAAAAAATAACCACTGGATGGTCCGTATAAAGTGTTACATCAATGTTTAGATCAATGTTTCGAAAAAAAAATGTATTATTCGAAAAAAAAATTCAAACAAAAATTGTAAGATTAGGAGGCATAAAATAAGTAATATTGTTGTATCAATAAATTATTTTTTAACATTATTTTGAGGTCAACATTAATTTTTTTTAGTGGAATCATATGATTTTTTTAACAAACCAATTCTTCTGGTCATTCTACATATAAAAGTACTGGAATAAAATCATGGAAAAATATATACTTTCCGAGATATTTTATATTTTATCCTGATACTTTTCGGTACAGGACATGAAATGTCTTGTGAATTATTCAATTTTCGACGATCTTTCATCAAACGATCATTTAAGCAGCAGAAAAGCAATTTTTCGCAAAAAACCCCGTTTTTATTTTTTTCCAGCAATTAAAAAACGGTTTTTTGAACTATAATTAATTGTTTATAAAATTGTCAACTTATATATTCATATTCGAAGCGTTTCCGATGTCAGGACGCGAAGGAAAGTCGACAGGTGAATGCTTCTCTTTTATAGGCAGCCGTGTGTCGCGTCTCCAGTGCATACACCTGCAACCTGCGTACCTTCAAGGTCACCGTTGATTCACTTTCCACGGATGACCTCGTTTTCGAACTCGCAGCATGCGGTCTCCTCGTCTAATCTTCGTTTCGCAGTTTGCAACTCCACGCTGCAAATGAACGTTTCAGAGGCTAAAAGTCGTTCGCGCTGCGCTGCTAATGCTACGAAACGAGAGTGGTCGTTTTATGTCGTTTTGTTAGAAAGTTTTGATTTCACCTGTCGCTCCTCGTAGAAATCCGTCGCCGGCTACATTGTACCCGGGCCGTTGTGCACGCATCTAATTGTCAAAATGCGTGAAACGATCGATTATATTAATCGAGAGCTACGATCTCTCGCGGTATGGGTAGCGGAGAAATCACAGGGTTCGCGTGTCCGCTCTCGGAGTCGTCATCATACGATGATTCACAACTGTACCTGCGTGTATCGCGTCGCACACAGTCATCCGTAGATATTGTCATCATTATTATCATCAAAACGACGACTTCGCTTTCAAATCGCGCGAATGACTACATGCGAACGACGTCGTGATTTTTCGTTATCGTTTCATATCTGCCGATTAGATTTTATGATTGTCAACTGCGATATCTTCGATGTTATTTACGATTCTTCTCTATATTGATGTAGATAACTCAAATAAACATGCCTATTGTACGAAGCTTGATTCTCGAGGAACGCAAGTCCGTATTACGAAAGTTCACACAAAATACGACAGATTTTAAAGCGACGGTTCTTCTCTTCTTTCACACGCTGATTACAGCGTTGATTTCCGCGTTGTATTAAAAATATTTTCTATATTTTTTTAAGTACCAAAATTTGAAACTCAGCTGATACGATTAAAATCCCAAAAATACACCAAATAATGCAAATAAGTGTAATTCAAGAGGTATGAATATTTTATCTTGTTCCATTGACTGTCCGTTGGTCGGTACAATCGACTTCTCGAATGCAATCAATTATACTTTATGCGTCACTTAATGAGACGTCGTAATAACACAATATAGTTTGCGACATTCGACATGTTAATTGTCTATCGTTCACTTTGATCTCTGTCGGGAGATCTATTCTCTTTCTGTATATACGAATACAGTAAGACGGCAAGAGTTACGATTATAAGCGCTTTCGATAATACAGCATGAGCACACGGAATAACCGAAAATAAGTTTAACAACGTAACACAAACAGAAATTAAGAGAGTTCTCTGGTCCTAAGAGTTCAAAAAATCGATTCTTCTTTTATATATAATCTTGAAAGCTTAGTCTCAGGAACCCACGTCTCACAGATATATTTCCTTAGAAAAATAAAAATCTGTGGAGGTATATGAATCAGAATAGGCCGCTTGACCGACTCATGTAGCATATACCTGGGGCTGCCTTACTATCGATCTCTTTAGTCCCGTGAACAATGGAATGTAAATATATGTAAGGCTTTCCCCGGAAGTTAGATAGAAAAGAATAATAATGAATCTTTAAATTCATTGATATGCGCTATTGAATGTGCTCAAAATGATGGAGATGATGGGCATCGGCAGCACAATTTTCAACTTAACCGCACATCGCGGAATGAGACCTGGCTCATCGCGTATCCTCTAGTTTCAAGGAAGCGAGGATTGCCGTTCCAGAGACGAAAACAGCTCAAAGGAAAGGAAGTTCTACGAAAAAAAAGTTATAAGTAGGAAGGTTCCTTCTATGGCTTTAAAACAAGTAACAATAGTATCACGAAAAACGTTTGACGAAACTTTCGTCAACGGACAACTCGTTTTCCTTAAAATCGTATTTTCAAACATGGTGACCACGATTCTAAAAAAAAATTATTAGTCCGATCTTACGGTTTTATTCTTATAGTCAGCAAACGTATGTTGATTTTTTCAATTTCTTTCGTCCAAATAAGGACAAAAAATGAATGAAATCAGGAACTTCATAAAAAATATTCCCGAATACATCTTTGAATCCGGTTCTCAAGAACCAGAAAACCCCCTTAATTCGACAGATCGATGAAGCACGCACGAAAGACATAGTAGCATCAGTGATAATTATACGGGTTTTTTTATATAATTAATGCATATAGTTTAAAAAAACTATTTTATAATTATTGCAACTATATAAATCAGTTATAATAATTATAATTGCTGAAAATTGCAATAACTATAATTATTAAACTATACGTATCAATTCTGCGTACAAAACTCGTATAGCCGTCTTTATAGTTGTCACGACTATGTATTTTTCTCCGAAGTATGGCTACCAAAATATCCTGATAGTTTCTTGCGATTCCTCCGCCGTTTAATGCGCTTTTCACTTGACACGCGCTTCGCGTTTATTCGATAAGAGAATTGAGGACGCAAGTACGTGAAAAGTTTCTTTGCTCTTTCGAATGTCGCCGAGGAGGCCGTAAAACCGCGTAAAACGTTAGACTTCCTCATCGAGGCATTTCGTCCGGTGTTTCGTTTGCAATGAAATGTTTTGTTTATTCATGCATGCGATACAAAATTTCAAGGATTAACAGACCAGAAGAAAAACGCACCCCTCATATGAACTACAACTGTTCGCTACAATTTGCAAGCGTACAAAAAGTGTACATACGAATGGAGATTGTAGAAAGATTATCATCGTTATTTCGTTTTGATTAGCGCAGAGCTCCATTCTCGTCGTCGCGTCGGCCGTTTTTTTCTTTCTTTTTCTTCTTCTTCTTCATTTAATTAACATTGCATTTACACTTTGACACTCACCGCCACAACATTTGTACACAACGTAGTATTTAGCCCCTCTGTGTGATAAATTATCCCCGCTTATCGCGTCCGCACGATGGTTTGATCGGTTGGTTGAAATTCGCATACGCGCGGTATACAGCTACCAGTGAATAAATTAGTTATCCATCGGATTATATCAAATAAATTATCTAACGAACTAATCCCCCGAGAACCTCAGAACGTATAATTGACTATTAAACCTAACGCAGTGTGTCTGTTTGTTTTGTACGTATACACGTGTGTACATATGTACACACGCGCACTGTGTGTGTGTGTGTGTGTAGGTAGGCTAGATATACATTTACACGAGAGCCACGTGTCCGCGCAACGAAATAAAGTAAGTACGGTGGAACCAGGCTACGCTAATGCTCAACGTCGGGGTAAAATCACTGATCGCGTTTATCGGAGAAATGTCGAGAATTTTACAGCTTAATGATTAGATTATAAACTAACAGATCTGAATCATATCGGAAACGCATATCGTCCCTCGTTCGAGTTACATATAACTTTTTCCTCTTTTTTTCTTCTTTGTTTCTGACATATACGTTCCTCGTTTATATATATATATATATANCTTCTTCGATCGATCGATCTATCTCGCGTTCCACCATCTCATATTCACACACTTCCATACATCGCGGAGCAACTCCTTATGTCCCCCTTATGTACAATCGCGAGTAACGTATCGTCATAGAAGTTCGTAACTGAATTTCACCGGGAAACTTCTGAGAGAGAAGTGTGTCACGCGGTATCGAGAAGCTGTGCGCCGCTGTTAAATCGACAACGAGCTCAAACATTCGACATTATTCGCGTACCGTCGCCGCGCCAGCCAGTTACAGGCAACTCTCTCTCTCTACCCTCGCTGCTCGAACTTGCCGCATTTTAGACCGAGCGTCCACTTGACTTGGGTTTACCTCTCCAAAGCGACCGTTCCGTTAATGGAAACGCGTGATGACTACAATCAGAAGTCGAACGGATCGGCCGTGTTTTCTTTTTTCTTCGGAATTTTACCGACGAGAGTCCCCCTCGGAGAGAATTAATTTCTAACAATTGAACATATGATATACGATTCACCGCTTGTGTGTGTGTGTGTGTGTGTGTGTGTGTCGAGAGAGTGACTCTTTTTTTCACATATATACGCCGAACGATAATTTCATTCTCGAGGCTTGTGCTTTCAGAAATCCAGCGGAATCACTCCAATTAATTCAGATCGAGCCTTAATTCTACAGCGATCACGCGGATGACAGATGTCGTTCATGTGTAGTAAAATGTATTTTCCGAAGAATAACAAGCTTCTTTCTATCTATCTTTGTGTACTTGTCAGTTAGAGATTGCACTCGTCCGTTACGGACAAATTGACAACAAACCGCATCTAGGAGAGTGAAGTCGTTGTGTGCTTTGTTGGAAGGAGCCTAATAAGATCACCAAAATATCGCGCCGAAGATACACAAATACATTATCTATACATCGTATCTTAGCGTTCGAACAAATCATTTCCAAAACAACGATGATCTCATAATTTGTTTCTTTTTGTTCTTAAATTGGGAGAAAGAAGTGAAAACGGTCTGAATTTTGTTTTAAACGAGACACTTTTTACGATCGTTATTTCCATATAAATAAATATTATTACTTTTTAAAATGACTATTTTACTGGGAATGTCAATACGAAATGGAGGAGACTCGTCATCCGTGCGATCACTCGCGTTGAATTTAGGTACGCGACCGCTCCAGGGTGAAGAGAGAAGAAGCGCATCTCGAACTCTCCCGCATCCCAATTCGGAACCCTCGGCCTCATTCACTTCCTCTCTCGGTTTTTACATCGATTGGCTCATCGAGCGGGGTATCTTAAATTAATATCTAGAATTACATCTTATTGCAATTGACCTCCGTTTATTTATACAATTAGTTTATCGCTCGCAGCGTTCTCCTGTTCCCGTGGGGGCACCTCGTTCGAGCCGGCGAAGATCGCAGCGCGTGACTCTGCCCCGAGGTGAACTGACGGAAACCGACGACGAGAGACCGACGAGACCGGACAGTAGAAAAATAAAAGCGTCGTTAAAAGCACATCCCGCGTCGTTGAATCTCGATCCCGCGGCGACGCATCTCTGTGGAACTCGTATAGCCGCGTTTCAATGGTGACGACGACGACGATTGCAATTTCTACTTTGAACACGAAAAGCAAAAGCCTCTATCCACTTGCTCTTTGTCGCGGCTGACCACTCTTCTTCACATTCCGATAGCGCAACAGTCACGTGACGTCATCATCGATACGGTCGATTCGACATAAGACGGTACGCATAGTCGGATCTTATATTTAAGATCGTCTTAAGTTCACTTCAAACACTGTACGGCTCAGTACAATGGCTGCGTTCAGCAGCTTTGTAAAATTCTGCTGTTGTAGAATTCTGATTGGCGTGTCTGATTGGTCTCTTAATCTTGCCGGAGTCTAAGAGTATACATCGATCAGATTCACGAATTTTACAACAGTTACAAAGCTGCTTCCTCTGCTGAACGCAGCCATTGGCTACGAAGTACGAGTATCTGAAGGTGAACTTAAGACGATCTCTTAAATATAAAACCTGACTGTGAATACCGGCCATAATTTCGCTGTGCTCGGCTTTCCCTTGTCGCACGGCAACGACACGTTTGTCGATTCGCACAGTTACCGCTCTAATTTCTTAGAGCCGTCTGTACTCGAGACGGAGCGACGTTCGTTCCCTTCGTTTACCACGGAGAAAACTTTCAGAGATCGGAGAACGGATTTCGGGAAGAGAGCCCGATGCGAACGAGCGATCCGCGCGATTGATTCGCAAACAGGAGAGCGCTGTCGATACCTCGATCCGAAGATTCCCGTTAATTCGCTTTTTAGTTTCTTCTTCTACTTCTTCTTCTTCTCAAGCCATCTCAGTTTTCCTCGGCTCAGGGAGAGAGGGAGGGACACGGAAAGGTGAAGAACAACGAGCGAATTTTCAGTGACACAAGAGGGTGTGAGACAGCGTAGGCACTTTAAGGAAAAACGGATGACAGCGAGGCTGCATGTCCACTCGAGAACAGAGGCTCTCTCTCTCTCTCTCTCTTTCCTTCTCGTCTCTCGAGAGCTGCTGTCAACATCAACGATCCTGTGAGGCGCAGAATCCGGAGTAATTGCCTGAGGCGTTTTCCTCGCGGAGAAACTTTCGCTACAGTGACTAGCTGCTTTCGAGAACGAAACCCTCAAGCGGGCATTCAGTCTAGAAGACGGGATCTGCTGGGCGAATTGGTGCTCCCGGTTGATATTAAAACAGTACGAAGCAGAAGCGTCGTAAGTTCAATATGCGAACTTTAGCCTATCGAAGTGTACCGCTCCAACGGAGCGGCGCGTGCGAGAGCGTAGGTGCGCGGCCGTTGAATGCGACGACAGATGTGCTCGCGTGCGAATGGAAACAAAAAGTAGGAAACAGAGGCGAGAATCTTCCGTATCTGCGAACGTGGCAAAAGATATTTTGATTTTAGTCTTGTTCTCCTTTCTCTCTCTCTCTCTCTCTCTCTCTCTCTTCACTACGATAATGTCTATATTTATATAAAAATACGCAGTTTTCGCGGTCGCGCACCCACGCCCGCCCGCGCGACGTCCGTCGCGGCCGTAAGAACGGAGAACCGAATAGATTATCGCGAGAAGTCTCGCAGATTCGATACGTTGCCGTTCGACGCAATGTGCCTGTCCGCGTTACCGCAGCGCGTACGTATATAGCCTACGATTATCTACGAAACAATTGCTTCTTCGTTGACCGTTTAAAGTAACCTAAAGTCCCTATAAGTAATAGTGTCACCTCGTTTTAGCGATCTGTGTGCGTGGACACAGGGTGTCCCGGCTCGACCGCGCGCGACTTCACCGGCGACGGAGCCTCTCTCTGCTCGATTCGGAGTGTCCGATTCCGTTAGATGTGTCGAGTTGTTTTTTAATTATAAAATGAATAATATTAGTAATGGTAACTCTGGTAATGGATCAGCTGGCATGATTTATATCTATCTTTCTTTTATGAATCTTTACTAATTTTTACTCAAAAAAAATTAAACAAAAATAGATTTACTTATATTTGACGAATTACTTTCAAGTTCAAGCAAAAGCTCCGAAAATGATGAAGAAATAATAAATGTTATTTATACGGATAACAGCGGTAATATTTTTTCATAAGCCATAGATAACAATAAATTATTAAATAACTAATAATTGTAACAGAAAATTAAAATATCTGTCTGAATAGGCTGAATAAAATAGATGCGAATTAACAGATACAGCTGATCCGTTACCGAACGTAGCATACGAAACGTATCAAGTTGGTTGCAGCGCAATCAACTTTATAATCAAGAAGGATGTTCTCGGCACACCAAACGGAGCAGACCCTCGGAGAGTTCGTCACTCCGCACCGCTCGGAGATAAGGTCCGCCGTCGGGAAATAAGTCGCGGTCAGAGTGAGGGCTCGTCTCTCTATACATATATACGCGTACATATATATTACACATCCGCGTTTCTGTATGCTCTCTCGTACGTCTCTTCAATGTCAAAATATTCTTTTTATTCTGTTTTATTATTACTGGCACGCGCGTGTGTAGCCTTGCGTGTGTGTGTGTGTGTGTGTGTGTTTGTGTGTGTAGCGCACGTGCTTGTATTCTGTTGTTTCGCGCTACCACCGGGGAATAAGTCCCCCGTCCGGAGAAAGAGCATTCCCAGTTCTCATCCGTTTTCATAGTTAACACGATAGGCCATTCCACCAACGTCGCACTAATGTTACCGTTACATGGTATATGTATGTATATATATATATATATATTGCAAAATATTCCCGCAAATCAATCGTCATTTCATCTCGAGGAGACCGACCGAATTCGGTACCAAGCCGCAAAGTTACTGGTCGTCGCATTGCGGGGGAGCTCGGTGAAATCGGCCGTGTGTGAAGTATTGTTATTCCGTCCGGAGAACGAAAAAAAGACGGAGAAAAAGAAGGAAAAGGACGAGTGAACGCGCGGTTGAGAAAAGCAAAGTCGCACAACAACGGGACGACAAACGAGTTAGGGAAACGCCTAAAATAGAGACATTCCGTTCGTACAATTAAATACAACCTTTACACAGCTCTCTTTCCTTTTTACACAAGTGCACGCGCTCTCTCTCGTGCGCGCACCGAAAGTTGCACGATACCGCGGCTATTTGGACTGACTCATCCTCCTCCGATCTCTCCTACTCCTCTCATTTTTCTCCTCTTCCTCTGCCGGCCTGTCATCCCTAGTTTCAAGCAACACTCTCTCTCTCTCTCTCTCTTTCGATCGACTCTCGCGTCCGAAGCACTCACGCTCGTGCGACCAAGCTGCGGCGCGACGGCGCGCAACGGAGGGTGGGTTGGGTGGCTGGTTGGTTGGTTAGTCAGTTAGGGTGAGAGCGGGTGGTGGGTGGGGAGGGGGGGGGGAAGGCGCGCACACGTTCCTTTTTGCCGCGACTGGGGCCGTATCTCTCAGTCACGAATCCGTCCGCGACTTGGCACTGAAGGGAGAGAGCGCTACGCGACGACGTAGGACGACCTCGGCCCGGTCATCTTGTCGCATCAGAATAGGCCGAGCTTGGTCCGCAGGAACTCCTTGATCGGAACGTAATATTGGCTCCTTAAGGCCACCATTTCCGGCGTTTTGCGCAGGCTATTGAACAGCGTCGTGTCCGTCTCGAACACCAAAACCGTCACGATGAACAGCACCGTGATCGTCAGCATGAACGCCGGTATGAAAAGCCTGACCACGCGCAGACTCTGGTGTCTGAGCTTGCCGTTCGCGCGACGACCCAGATGGTGGTGTTGCTGTTGCTGCTGCTGAAGGCAGAGCTTGGAGTTCTGCAGCTTCTGCATCTTCGGTACCGGCGTGACCGAGCGGCTGTGCGGCTTGCCGCCGGACGCGTCCAGCAGCTGACTCTCCGACGAGGAGTGGTCGAATGAGTCCCTAAAGTAGTAGTCGTTCGTCTCGCCCTCGTGCTGACCGACTGAAACAGAAAGGATATGATCGGTGTTATACTGAACGGCTGCGCCGGCGAGCGGCTCGGGGACGAAGACGTTACAGGTGCGGACGACTCTACTCCGTCGCTCGAAATCGCGTTCGTGGAGCACAAACAGCGAGGTTCTTTCATTCTCCCAGAGGGAATCCATTTAATATGCAGAGTGGGACGATAACTGTCACCACCTTGAATATCGTCGGAATATATACGGGGCCATTCGACAATTACGTCACGCGAAATTTAAGTCACACCAGTATCTTTTTTCTAAAGTGCAAATCATTTTATAATATCAAATTAATTAATCTATTTCATCATTTTGATGAGTAAAAATTGTGTTTCTAAAAGAATAAATATTTAAAGATCGACATTTTGATTATTAATACAAAACCATGTCAAAACTTAAACATTTTCACCAAATGTAACCGAATGTGTCGCGAATGCAAACAAAGCGGATGACCCAACCCATCATAGCGCATCCATATTTATAAGTTATGTCATTTAATGTGACGTAAATTTCATGCCTTTTACTCCCCTTCTCCCTGCCATCGCAGTTCGTCACACAAGCTAATAGACCTCTCCTCTTCGTGATGTGACGTAATTGTTGGATGGCCCCTATATATAATAATAATAATAAGTACGAATATAATATCTTCGAAATGTGATAATAATTTGAGAAATATAATAATAAGAAATAAGAAATATATATATATATATATATATATATATATATGTGAGAATAGGAGGAAAATTTATCTAACGGAAATCACACTGATAATGGTCGTCACTTCGAACATCTAGCATAAACTTCTAAACGTAAACTTTCGACATCTTCATTCAGTAATTGATGAAATATTTCTACTTTTCCAAGATATATTCCAAGTGATGATAGCTATTGCCTCACCCTGTATGCATTGCAATATATAACGGTTAACGATAGTTGGACGGACAATAAGTCAGATCAACGACGGACAAAACGATCGCTTCTTCCACGAACCGATCCTGCAGAGGAGATCGACAGACAACGCTGCGCGTGAGCTCACGTTTAGTGCGTGCACTCTCCCGACTAAGGTACACTCTCGTAATTGCGGCTGGGTACTCTCTAACGATCCGACTATCCCTATTAGCCGGCGAACGGCTTGGCTATGGGACGGACGGACCAGGGAACTCTCGATCCGGCCCGTGAAAGCAATCCGAGCGTCAGCGGAAGCTGTGCGATCCGGTCGATAGCCGATCGATCGAGCACGACGGTATGAGATACCTCGCGGATTTCTACCCACGGGGACGATGTGTCGCGAACGATCGGATTGGTGTTACGTGTAACAGGCGCAAGCCCATGCAGACCGCAGTGTCGATGCGTAACATAAAGATAGAGAGACGAAGAACGAAACAAAGCAGAGTCCAAAACAACGACACACGCACATGAGGAACAGAGAGAGAGAGAGAAGGGGAAAAAGAGAGATAGGACACACACGAGCGGGACCTTTGTCAGACAAAATATTACAGAGAACAGATGACAGAAAGAGAGAGAGAGAGAGAGAGAGGGGGGGATAAAAACATTCTTACAAGGTTTGTTCTTTTTCGCTGAACTGGCTTATACTATATTTCCCTTCCTCCCTTTCCTCCACAAGAGTCTTAACTGTATGTCTATCTCTTTATAAGTTCTTACAAGTGTACACTAGTCGAGCGGAAAAGAACGGACCTACGGTTTTCTCTCTTCATCCTCGATCCTCCGTACTTACCTGGTGGCCCCGGTAGTTTCGAACGATCGAATCCGTTCAAGCCTGCCATAGCCAGGCTTGCGCAACCGTTGGCGGTGGTGGTGGTGGTCGTTGTCCATCCGCCGAGCTCGCTTACCTCTACGCGCGTTTTACCATCGCATACGTCGCGATCCAAGCGCGGCCAGGAGGCCGGCATCGAATTCACCGCGCCTCTGACCAAGCGTCCGTTGGCGTTCGCCGGCGCCTTCGAGCTCTTGATTATCAAAGCGGTCGAGCGCACCACCTTCGGGCTCCGCTCGCTAGACGTCAGGGCGTTAATACGCTGCCGTACGACGTGCTCGATGTCGCGGCCCGCCAGCTCCTCCGAGCCTATCACTATTCTCTGACTGTACAACGGTTGCGGTCGGTTCAGCGTGCTCTTGGGGAATTTCAGTTTGGCTTTCGCGCGGTTTGTGGTGGTGGTGTTGGAGGTGGTGATGGTGGTGGTGGTGGTGGTGGTAGTAGTAGTAGTAGACGTGTGGGTGGCACTCGCATGCGTATCATTTTCGTCTACGGCTAAAAGAATAGAAAGAAACAGAGAAAACAAATCAACCAAAGGTACTAAAAAGCCAAAGAAGCGGCGGTCGGTAGAAAGAGAGGGAACACGCGAAACGGGCGGAATTCGCTCGCGCACGACCAGCGCGCGCCGCCGTTTCGGGATTTGGTTACGGCGCGGAATGTTTTTGCATTTTTGCATCGTCGAGCGCGCGAATTGAAATCGAGCTCGGACGATCCCCCTCCCAAGAGTGAAACGTTCCGATCGCTCGCAACGATAATACAGGGGGCCCAGGCGGAACGGATAGTCACGACGACATTAAAATGACGAGATAATGATCGAATCGTGATCGATGAGTGAGTTTTTATAGTCGTTTTCTCGTCATTTTGACGTCATCTCGATATCATCGTGATTTTCTGTTATGTCTGGGGGCTGGGACGGGGGGAATCGTTTCTTAATGTCGGTATTTTTCTGCGTTACGCGTATTTTTAAGGAATGATGATCGATTTCGCGTTTTGATGTCGCGCGATTATTCGAGCAGATCCACGAATATCCCCTCTTCATTAGCAGTGCCGACCTGAGATGTGGACGTGCGTTCTACAGTTTCAAAGTTTCGGAAAAAAACTCTTTTTCAATTTTTCCGCGGATTTCTTCGGTTTCCCTGTCTCAAGAATACAAAAATTCGTTCAGAAAACATTTACGTGTGTGTTCGGTTAAAAGCTGCCCGCATTTACTTTCCCCGTAAAGAAGGTAAGAAACCAAATAATCCACAGAAAAATTGAGAAGAGCGATTTTTTCCGAAACTTTAAAACTATAGCATGTTCTCCGTTCTGCTGGAATATCACGAAGCACCGGCGCGAAATTTCGACGGAGCGCGCGGTCGGAGGATGATTTCTCGCTCTCTTCGAAACACGCCGGCGGTGTATCTCTCGCATTCAGTAACCAATTGTTTTCCATACACCCTCGTCATGCACTAACTTCTATCGATAACATCGAACATCCTGCCACAAATGTACCTGAACAACTTGATCTGAACGTCCGTGATGTCTGATCTGACCAAAGGAATACATATCTCCGCATAGCAAAACTCGCACGCAAGCTCTAATTATCAGCAAATCGATAATATCGCTGCGCTTCATCGTCGTGTACACATGCGTCGCGGCGGAGGTACTCGAACGGGCTGGGGGAGGGGGGG